GGCACCCCCTTTTTTAATTTAAAAATTGAAGTTATCATATGACAAATATTCAGTGGACAAAGTTTGAACAAAAATCTATTGTCAAGTCTATTTCAGAGGAATTACCTTAAACAAATTTTACACAAGACCGTGTTGAAATGCTGTGAAATAAGTCATTGTTTAGGGCCCGGATGAGAGTGTTGGAATCTCACAATTTCAGCTCAATTCAATTTCAATCGTTTCAAAAGCATTATTTACAAATACCTGGTACACCAAATCAAGGAAGTCGGTAAAAAATTAGTACCTAAAAACGTAGGTGGAGTCGCAACTTTATTCCAATATAGATATATCAACATTTATTGAAAACTGGATCATTGGATAAAGCAGTTTAAGAGTTTTCATCATACTATTCTTTACAAATATGGTAAGGGTAGGAGTAATTTTTCTGGGTGTTTTCACTTTTATTTTATTTTAGTTTTCTATTTTTTGTGAGCGTTTTTCATAAAAACAATTATTCCACTCGCGCTTGTTGGATATCCAACGCGTGCTCGTGGAATAATTGTCAAATAATCAAACGTTAGAAAAATCCTGAAGAGACGAATGTTAACTTAATGGAGTTGATTAAAATTATAAACAAAGGCGTTCCTGTCACAAAGATAACATAGGAATTTTGCGGAAGATTTGGAGTCCACGAGTAAACCTGAGCAACACCGCAGATCTTAGAGAATTAAATTAATGGACACAGGAAATATTAAATTTTACGACACTATGATTTTTTTATTTAACCAAAAGAAAGAGGAGTGGAAATTGAGACCTGTTGAGTTTGAAATGTCTTGAACTGGTTTAATGTTTCTGAACGATTGCGATGGATCAATTTTCTAACATGACATTTATCCTCATAAATCTAACTTAAAATGGAAAATGGCTTACCTTAAATCATTTTCAATAGGTCCACTTATCTACGGAGTACTGCCTTCTGTTTTTTTTAGGAAGAAAGCGCGTGGAATCACACGTTTGTGCTACACGATGTGGCGCGACCTGCGGCTTTCGAGTTGCGATTCGATACGATGCTCGTTGTTGACATTATCTCTAACTGGTGTGAGAAATTTGAAAAAAATGACAAGCAATAACTATGTAAAACAAGTGTGAGAAGGAAGGAAGTAAGTATATCGAAGGATACCCTGTCTGTGTTCTCGTACGGTTGTGAGCTACGTGTACGTTCATAGTCTAAAGAGCAGCGATACTGAAAAAAATACTTACGATACTAACGATAGCATCCTGCGAATGTAGTGAAATGATTTCGTTACTGATCGAACACAGATTAATCGTCTGCTAAAAACGAAAGAAAAGCGAAAATTAATCTTCCGTAAATGAAAAATAAGGAGCGCCAAGGCTGTATGGAAAAATCGAAAAGGCAAAATAGGATAACAATCCATTAAAGAAAGCAGCTTTACAAAATTTATAACCCCTCTCCCCGCCCCCCCTTGAATGAGATGCCACCTCATCTAGGACTGCTCAAGGCACTCTACGGCGTAAATATAACCAACAACCTCCATTTAGGACGAAAATAAACACGCAAATTTCTCGGTGGGCATTGTTTGTTCCGTGATACGAAACTGCGCATGTGAACTTCGAGCAAAAGAAAATATCCAGATGCCCAAATGCTACAAAATGTTTGAGAATAAATATCGCTCTTTCCGCCAGACATTACATCTGAAAGTTTGCCTCATGCTCTCCCATAGCGGTTCTCTGATATTAGGTACAATTTTCACCAATGTCTTTAAATCGCGTACCAAATGGTAATACGAAAGATATAACCTGTTTACAGCTTTTAAACTCCCTCAAATTTAAATATAAGTGCTTTTAACTCGAGCTCAGCGACCCTCAATTTCATTGGGCGGCAATTCCTTAAGGGGCACACAACGGATGTGTTCCTTGAAATATATGTTCCCTTGCTGATATCCTGATTGTCTTGCTGACTGAGCAACTCACGGCTACTCACTAAGTAATCCAACCTTAAGGAGGAAACTTGGGATTTCCCGCGTGTTATAATTACTCGCTGGTTAAATTTATTTTAATTTTTTCTGTCAACTTCCTGTAATGTCCCAAATCCACTTTTAGGAGAGGACAAGGAAGCAACCTGAGTGAAGTCGCCGAGATAAGGGTAGGAAGCCGAGGAAAGGGAACAGCGTGTTCACTTGAAGAAAATCTGATTTTCAACCACCACGTCACACAACGGGCTCACATCCTACAGGGGGTACTATTAAATGCGTAGCCCCTGTCCCCATTTGGCAATCCCGGAAGCCTAGTGGGCTCCATTGCAAATTTTGATCAAGCCGCAATGAGAGAAGGAAGCATAAAAACTCTTGAACGCAGACAAATATTCTCTATGACATGTACAACAAGAAGAGTGAAACTGAAAAAAAAATCAATAACAAATAACCCGGAAATGGCTAAAAAAGTTAAAATGAAACTTGATAAAATTCAGCCCTTGCTTATACAGCGGCTTCATTACTTTAAGTAGGGTAGATAAATTTGTCATATCTACATAAGGTCACAGTCTCGCTGTTTAAACAAAAGAATAAGTAGATGAAAAAATTTCAAAAAAATAGGTAGATGAAAACAAAATTAGATTCAAATAAAGCTACATTCGCCTCCAGAAGTGTCTGCCCATTGTTTCTTTGTTTTGTTTGCATGACAAAAGTGATAATATTTCCACCAGAAACTGTCATTATAATTTTTACTGGTAAAGCTTCGGCTTTTTATAAAAGTGGGGAAAAAGCTAAAAATTGCAATGGAGCTTTGAACCACAGCTGGTTCTTAGAAAAGTGGCGAAAAAACAGCATCGAAAAAATGTCACTTCCTTTGCTTATTATCATGGTTATGATGTCATGGTTGGCTACTTCTGAAGAATGTCAAAATAAATTATAGAGTTGTTTGGAATGGTAGAGATAACCTGTAGGTAAAGGATAAATTTCGGCCACTATCAAATACAAAAGTTATGTTAAGTAAACTTGGCTGGGCAATTCCCAAGGACTAGAGAGTAGAAACCAAACCCTAATAATGTTCAAAATTATCAACGGAGTGACACCTGTCTATTAAAATGACATTTCCCACGTAAATAGTGGAGTTCTTGACCGTAATTAACTGACGTTCTAATAAAAGCAAAAATCTAATTCACAGGTTTCTTGTCACAATATGCTCAAGCTAAAAGGTCCATCTACTTGCTTTAAAATTAAACCTACAGAGTCAATAATGAGCTTATAATGATTGAAAACATGTCTGGTTTGAGACCCGACGACAACGATCGTGGTTTGTCACGAAACATGAGCAGCGCGCTGACGTTTTTCCGAAATTTGCGATGCCATTCTTCTGCGTATACACTTTGTTAACAAACTGTCCCTAACCAATCACACAACTTGTTGGGTAATGTGACCCGAGTGATTGCTACAGGTTTAATATAGCGATTGCTGTAAACACCTGCCATGATTCCATTCTTGTTCCACAAAGAACTACATATGCGGTTGTTGAAAGGTAAGAGAGTATAGTTGTGGGTTTTTTGCATTATGAACACTAAATTGTGCATGAGGTTAGTCGGAAAATGAGGAAGGAGTAAAGTGAGCTTCACAATTTTTCACCGCATAGGTTTGGCTACTGATTTCATACACCGAGCAGTTTAGAAAATGAGGAACCTGATCCAATCGCGTTTCGTAGGCCTTCTCAAGTTAATGTTCCTCGCTGCCATTTCATCGTCGGACGGATTTGCAGGTAACTTTAAGCGTGTGTTCTTCTTTTAGTGTGCATGTACTTCCATTCTACCAGATGTCTTTGTTGAAGCCATTTGAAGGGTGTGAGAAGGAGAAGC